AGGTGGTTAGACAAGCAGTTTTCACGGCAAAGTGAAGCAAACAATCGCCTGCGTAAACAATTGGTCACACAGTATATGACCGAACAAAATTTGGTTGACATACGGAGAACTCTAAATCCAGGCATAAAACAATTTACGTGTCATAGACTAAACCCTGCCAGCAAATCAAGGATTGTGCTTTTCGTAACAAGCAGATATTTGATGGATGAAGACCCTCCACGTTTGGCATCAATTTTAGACGCCAATCTGTCTGATTACTGCATGTGTTGCCTTACTGTCAGTGTAGGCCAGGTGATTGCCGGGAGGTCATTCTGGAAATTTAGCACTGCTCTGCTGAGTGACGACACGTTTGAGACCCGAATGAAGTTAAGAATTGCAGAAATAATAAGTGACAATGAATAAAAAAACAATGACCACACTTCTCGCAACTGTTTCTGTGTTCTGAGAGGCTGTATCATACAATACGCTAACCGTATAAAAAAGGAAGGCGAACAAAGACTCAAAGAAATAGAGGTTCAAGTAAACAGCGCGGTGAACGACTTACCGATCGAAATAGTTACTGAGCTATATGAAAAACGTGACAGTTTGATTGCTACACTGACTAAAAGTAACATGTTCCGCTGTAGAACCAACAGGAGAAAGTTCGCGGAAAAGGGCACTAAATATTTCCATGCCCTTAATAAAAGGAATAATGCACCGACAACATTTAACATATTAAAGCTAGAGCTTACCGAGGAAGGAAATGAATCAGGTGATGTTAAGAAAATGTTAGAGAAAAGTCGTATATACTTCGAGGCGCTTATGCCCTCGGCCTAATCTGAACGCACCTTCACAATTTTTAGACGGCATTACACACCTGGGCGACCTTACAGCATCGGTCTGCGAGGGTCAGCTGACTGTGGACGAATTAGAGGCAGCGCTTTTCTCGATGAAAACCTCAACGAATTAGGGTCCAGATGGATTTACCGTGCCGTTTTACTACCGTTGTTTTGTCATGACTTGAAAAGGCTTATTTATTCTGCTATGATTAAAATGTTTAGTGTAGGAACTATTTTGAACATCATTAAGTGCAGCATAGCTATTTTAATACCGAAAAAGAACCAAGATCGAAGACAAATGAAATGCCTTCGGTCCATCAATCTGCTAAACGTCGTATATAAAATGTTAACAAAAGCTTTGGCACAAAGACTAAAAACAGCAATGCATGAAGTAAAAAACGAAAATCAGGCGGGTTTTCTTCCCGGTAGGCGAAAATACGCGGCTAATTATTGACATAATTTGGTGTGCAAAATTCCACAATGCACCTGGACTGACACTATTCTGTCATTGGCGTAAAACATATTCGGTGGACTGAGCTTGTCTGAAAGTGCTGTCAAAGCACTAGGTTTTGGACCAGATACCTAGAAGTGGATTAACTTGATGCATGATCGGACTGAAGTACCCAGAGCAGTGCTCGCGTGCAGAGAAACGGCCATCCGTCAGAGCCGTGCGTGATAGCCAAAGGCCTCCGTCAAAGATGTCCACTCAGCTACCCGCTATTCTTGATTTCAATTGAGCCTCTGGCACATACAATCAGGTGCTGTAGCAGCATTAACGGGCTTACCATCAGTGACGCAGAAATAAAGATTTCGACCTATGCCGATGAAACAGCTGTCATTGTGGATAGTTCTGATAAATGCTTTAGGGCACATTTTAAATGATTGCATGCTTATCGAGATGTATCAGGCCCATCTCTGAACAGACAAAAGACGCGAGTGGTCTGAAAAGATCAGCACCGAAACCGAGCAGATGCCCTTTGTCCAGAGATTGAAACATCGTGGGAGCGTAACTCAGTAGATTACCTTGGAGTAAATCTCACCTCGACATGCGAAGACCTAGGAAATATCAACTATCCGGAAAAATAGAAATGTTGAAAGCCTAACTTTACCCATGGTTTGGGCGTGGCTTTACTGTATACGGAAAGATACAAGTGATAAAGTCAGAGGCTCTCTCGCAACCAATGTATTTTATGACTGTCTTGGAAAAGCCAAATCCTACGTCCTTAAAGAAGATCGAAACAATAATAAACCATTTCATTTGGAACCGATCTCGAGATAGCATCAAACGGTCGGTGATGAAAAACCGCCTTTTCATCGGAGGACTGAGGGTGCCTGATCCATCAGTACAGGCAGACAGTCTTAAAACGGCCTGGATAAGGAAGTTGCTTAATCCAGGGTACAACGCCAAATGGAAGAAAATACTGCAACTTAAACAAATATAAATCCAGTAATACCGTTATTGCACTGTAATATTGATCCCAACAAAGCGTTGAATCTTCTGGATGGATGCAAGTTTTGGTCAGAAGTGCAGAAATGCTTGGATACAGATCGTACACTCATTACAGCCCAAACTCTCAGAGGCAAACATACTGGGCAAAATCGTATGGAACACTGATATGAACCTTGAACAGAATTAATCTTTGAACAAGCACCAACTGATTCACCGTTCAGTGGCTCAAATAAACATTTACAACCACCAGGACCGAAAGCTCCTCAACGCCGACCAACTGAACATGCATTTCGGACATGGGCATTTTTTTAACATGGTCAGTATTTACTGCATGCCATACCCCGTTCTTGAAAGGAAGTGCTTGCTCAGAAAAAGTCTACCAATGCGGCCCTTCCATGCGCTTACGAGCAGATAAGCGAGTGCGTGGGAACAGCGAAGTGGGGATATAGTGTGCTCCTATCCTCGGCTCATGTTTCCCTACCGGACAATGCTCAGACGAAGTTGGAACTTAGACTTGGACCTATGGGGCAAGAACAATGGACAAAAAGTATACAAAGTTCTGTACGACACAAAAGATGACTTCAAACTAAGGTGGCTGCCATCTAGAGTCGTCCGCAGATCCTACCGACCATCCGCATGGTACACCTCTATGGGATCAAGGAGACGAATCAGGGTCCGCGCCGCCAGAGCCATACCGAGGACATACCGTATGTGTTCTGGTTCTGCCCCGGGTCGCCAGCTTTCTGGAGAGTGACCTGAGCACGCGATTGCGACTCCACAGACAACTCACTATGTGTAACGTTATCTTGTTGTAGCCTTTATAATCCTGTTGATCCGGTTGAAACACTTGATGTGTCCGCTACTCAACTATGCTTGCCATTGGGATAGCAGTACATATGGCAGTGTTGCAATGCGTCGTGTGAACCATATACCCGAGGTTTCTTTGGGTTTATTCAAAGGTACTCCGATGTAGAGGGATGTGTGGCTGCGAGCACCAACACAATCCACACTTACAAACAGACGCGCTCTGTGAGCTTGGAGAGACCGGCTGTGCACTCACCTGATTAACCATCACGTTAGTAGAGGGCACTTATATTGTGTGGATGAGGCAGTCAGCGATAAACTATCGTTAATGCCGGGCACGTTACTGTTGGTGTTCGATTGTGTACGCGCATGAGGAAGTGTGTTAATGGGTGTGTATGCCATCGTTCTGCATGCGTCACTACCGGTGTCGATTCTCCGCCGTGGCCGTCCGGCTCGGCCCTTCAGAGGGAGCTGTGGGGCCGGGCTGCCGGCTGGGGTGTGGCTGACTGCCCCGCCCTGTCGCCTGGCGGAGTCTACAGCTGGCCGGCTCGCGTGCTTGCGCGGCTGGTGGGTGGCAGATGTCGCTCCGCGGTGGTTGCCGCGGCGGCTGGCGGGGCGGCACCCGCGCTGGGAGGTGGCGTTGTCGCGACCTAGGTTCATTGTAATCACGGATCATAGTGTGAACACAGATCCATTGCGTATGTCATTGTGTGATTGTTCGAATTCAAAACAAGTAGAAATGTAAACGTTAGGATGTTCAAGAATTAATCGAATGTGATCGAGCAAAGCAAAAAAAAAACACTAGAGCTTCATCCAAGCCAACCGTATATGACATGAGATGGACCAGTCTCTTTCGTGGACACAAAGATTCACTTTCTCCGCTCCAGAATTATGCTGCATGGGCCGAGCCAATAATTGGCCTAGTCGCAATAATCCGTTTGTAAATATACATCACCATTGGCCTCCGGCGCATTATGTATGTACCCTGCTAAGCAACCAATAGGGTCTGCTGTGAAAAAAAAAAATACTGTGGGCTGGACGCTGATAGCGGGGTCAACACCACAGCCCACGCCAACAGGACTCTGCTGTTCGTTCCACGAATCAAGGGCGACAAAATGATCCACACTGCAATACCTGCCACTTCTGCGAACTACGCTTATTATCCAACACTTCTGCGATTCACCTCGAGGCTGGATGATGCGTGGCGACTTCCAAATTGTGGCATTTTAGCAAATGACTGGGGAGCCGATACCAACAGGCAAACATGACTAGGACGACGATAGTTGTTAGCCAACCAAGCACGGGACATCTTTGAGGAAAGGTGTAGGGAACAAAAACATAAACGTGGCATTGGAGACGCACTTCCGCTAATGCAGCCTGAAGGTCGCAATCATTTAGTCAAGTGTGGTTTAGTCAAGTGATTTAGTGACTTACTATTGTGATTTAGTGATTTACACAGTGATTTAGTCAAGAATGTTGTGCTGGCGTGACTGCAAGGAGAGCGCAAATTCTTTAAGGAATTTGTGTACTGAGACGAGCTGAACTGGCGGAACATTTCCGGGCACACTTCAGGGTATAGTCTGATCACGCTTAAAAGTGTTTTGATGACTTTAAAACCCAGTTGCCTATCTGGTATCTACTTTTTTAGTCTTGATAAGTATCATTGAGACGAGCATGCCGCATCACATGAACCACTCTTGTTAGAAAAACGTATTGCATGCGGCTAGGTGCAGAACGCCCGTATTTTGCAGTATAGCCTCAACTCAAAAGGGTGGATCCAAAAACAAATAATTGTAATCGTTATTACCAGCTCAGAGGTACTATTTTTCCCCGACTGACTGCTCTTGCTCTGGATACTCTGGATTGTCCCAGCTTTTCTATGTTCATTGTTGAAGCCTTGTCCTGTCTTCCCAAAGAAAAACACGCAATGGATGCCACTAGAAATGGATGCCACTATGACACACAAAAGGCACCAGAACAGCATTTCGAACATTTGCACAACCTTGACCTCCTGCCAATATGGTTTTAAGGCACAGTGCACACACAGCAGCCGCTACATGAGGGAAAATGCAAACCATAAGCTAACCCAATAAATCTCCGACAAAGAAAATGCAACTGAGGTTACCAAACGCCCCCCAGAGCGTGCCAGCCCGCGGCACGGAAGAACCGGCACCCGGCCTTTGCTGGCTATTCGGGCTTGACGTAGCGACCCGAGAACAGAGTCAGGCCATTCTCGGTGTCCACGATGGCGAAGAAGAATGGATGGTCGGCGATAAATTCGAACTTCTCGACAGGGCTGGGCATGCAGCGCATCATCATGACCATGCCCGTCGCAGCGGCAGCCTCGCTCCCCTCTTCGTTGACCTCGATGAACGCCTTGTGCACCACCTTGGAGACAAAAAGGTCCCTGGCACCGGAAATTTTGGACAAGTCAGCTGCGTTGGCGTCAAAAAGATCGTTCATGCCAAGTTTCCTTAGATGATCGACGAGATCATATGAAGCCTCAAGCTTGAACTTCGGTATCATGATCATAGTCTTCCTGTTCTGAAGCTCGCCGCGGATGGACTGCATGGACATGGTCGCTAGTTTCTCTTCGAGGGGCCGCAGACCGTCTTTTTTGTCTGGAAGGAGTACGATCATGCTGAAGCGCTTTCCTTCATAAGGAAGTTCCAGAGCCTTGCACGCCAGGTTTGTGAGGCTTGCGCAGTTGAATTTCTTATCATCCAGATACATCAGGTCGGTTTTGACAGCGTTTTTCGGGCTGACGAAAAAGTCTCGCTTGCTTGTTGCTTCTTTGTCGAACTTCTCCTGCCACGACCCTTTGAAGTAGATGGCGTTTATCAACACGAGCCGAACCAGCGAGTTCAGCGCACTCGGATCGATAAGATCTTTGATCTTCCCTTTCGTAAGCTGTTCCACGTCACCGTTTATCAGCTTGCTTGTACCGTCGGCGTCACCAAAGTCGACGCTCTTCAGCTCACTTAAATACTGCTTCTGCAGCAAACCAGAGTAGGTGTCCAAGATTTTGTACGCGTTTTGCACGTACAGCTTGTTGGCCGTGTTCAGTGTGATATTCGGCGGATCTTGCAGCGCCCTCAGTAACCCACTGTAGCCGTTGTGTAGCTCTGCGCTGTCCTTGGGTAGCGCCAGAGCCTGTTGCATCTGGAGAGCGGTGTTGCCGTCCGCTCCTCCGAACACCATCGACAACGCCGTGCTGATGCTGAAGGGTGAGAGGAACACATTGTCGGCGCTGGCCTCGGCCAGCACCCGGTACAGGTCCGAGGCCGCCTTGCTCTGGTGGTTGCTGACTTGCTCCATGATGGCGACCGGTGGGCCTAGCGTACAGTGGCCGGCGCCAGCCGTCGGTTGGGTGAGCGGGGCGGCACACAGACACCACGCGGCCAGAACCAGCCGCGCCGGGCGAGCGAGTGCCGAGCGGCCGACGGACGGCGTCGCTGCAGCCAGGCCACGCCCCGGCGCTGACTCAACGCGCAACGTGTCGTGCCGGCAGGCCTCGTGACTCGTCGCCGCTCGCCGACCACAACACTTGCGGCGCGTCACACCGCTTTTGTCCTCCCACTTTGTTCACCCGGGTCCGTGGTCGGCGCCGCGCCCCCTCCTACCTACCGATCAATGGTGGCCAGTTGCCCTGTTACGTCCGAAGCCACAGGCGACTGGCAACACCAGCGCCATCTGCACTCAAAGCCGTAGTCGCACATCAAGGTCGGCCGATACCGCGCGCGGCGGAAACATGAGGCGGGCCGCGCGTGTTTGCGACGAGAGACGCGACTTTTTTACTCACTGGCCCACGACACCTTACACGCCAATAACTCGCCGGTTTTTTTGCGAGACTGTAGGCCAGACTCGGCAGTCTTTTGCAGGTTAGCATCTATCTAGTAGAATCATGGGCCTGAGAACGGGGGGCAAGACCCCAACTTTTCAAAGCGGGGCCCAGCAATCTTCATCCGTCTGCAAAGTCCGTGGAAATCGCGAGGGCAGCAGAAGGCAGCATCGCGCCCCGCACTATGCAGATTCCGCAGCGACTGGCACGTCGGTGCCACACGCGCGGCTGCCGACTCGTGGGCACCGGCAGGATCCCCGAGGCATGAGATGTGCTGACGTCCACTCCACGGCAGGATCAAATATTGCGCCCCTGGACGTCCACCACGGAATCTGACACAATGGTGGGCGAATCCTGCGGCGCTTGTCCCACGAACGTCAGGTAGAACGGCAGCCCCGCCAACGCCTGGTGTCAGCGCGGCGAAACCTTCCGGGCCAGCGGCAGGCCTGCGGCGGCCGTCATCAAGGGTGGGCCCGCGCCCCACAGGCTTTCCAAACGGATGCCGCCCATACACGTCGGATATGACTGCAGCCGACTCCCGCGGAATTCTAGAGAAGACTGGTAGACAGGAAGATAGCGGCCCCACCATCGCTCAGGGTGAGCATGGCGGACCATCCACGCGGGCAGCGGTCGTGGAGGTCGGCGGCGGGGACTCCTCCACACGGGTAACTCGTTGATCAGTGAAATACAAAACATAGGCGATTCAGGATCGTTGACATATGGTTTTATCTCGTTAAGCCATTGAAGATCGGTTCTAGCTTCAATTTTTGCTTCCACGATCCTACACAATGACCTCCTCGCCAATGCGTTGCGATGAGTGAGCTTCATTCGTCAGAGCGAGTATATGTGCCTCGTCTCTTCCAATACGGCGGCCGGTTCCACCTTCCAGCAAGCGGACCACTCCATTCACCTCTCCTACCTTGTCTGTATACCTACGGGCTAGGGGGTCATCATCGCAGCGTGAGAAATTGGTCGGGCTGGCGGCTCGTAAACGTTAAGCGGTGACGTCACAAAGTCGCACCGGCTTGCGCGGCGGCGTTGCATGGCAACGTCAACTGCGTCAATTGGAAAACAGTAGTCACGCAGAAATGCTGTAGTTTCATTTACTATCGTGCGGTGTGATATCAAGTCTGTGTTGTTGCATGGCCCCGGTGCGTGCTATTATGTCGCGGATGTAAGAAATTCGAAGTGGCGTGTGAGCTTCTGGCAAAGTTAACATCAAAGGCAGTTTTTTGCAGCAAGACGCCATCCTGTGCAGTGGCTTCCTGCAAGAATACTAAACGGCACTTTAAAAACATGTAATTTTTTTACGTTTCCAAAAAACGATCCAGCTGTCTTAAAAGCATGGGTTCACCGTTGTTCTAGGGCTGGCACCATAAATGTGGAAAATGCGGCAATCTGCACGGCTCATTTTCAAGATCATGACTATGACCCTGGCTATCTGGTTAAGGCCAGTCTCGTGCCCAATGTAAAACCACGCCTGCGACCAAGTGCGGTTCCTTGAATGCAACTCGATATCCCTAGCATGCCGAAGTGAGTATGCTCTGCTTAAAAAGAAAATGCCCGTCTGTTTTATGCAGAAATTTGTTACGTCCAATTCACTTTCACTAATGCATGCATAATCTAAGCCGCTCTGTGCAGTTTATTGATTTCAATTCAAGATTCAAATGAAACTTTCCAACCATCATCTTTTTTGCAAAGTGGGGTCTAACTACCACACAAATGGGAGCGCCATCCATGGTACACGGGTGAAGGGGGTGAGGGTGGGGGGCGTAGCCGGTGTTTGCGACGAGGGGGGAGGTCAAGTTTGTATGAGCGAGTCTTAGCCCCATTGACAGTACGTCTACGCACTGTGGACTTACTAACGCACCCTACAACCGCGAAAAAGGGCAGTGCTCAGCGCATCAATGAGCTTCCGATATTAGTTTGGCCTGGTGCCTTAAACAGTTCGTTCAGCTGCGTACCGTACGAGTTCACTTAGCTATATGCGAGCCTCCTTACTAATCAACCGCTTTTGCGCCTTTCGTGTTACTGTCCATGGTAGTGTCCGAGATTTCCAACAATTTTTTTCCTGGTCGCCAAATTCCGGAATTGCAAACTGTTTTATTGTGGCAAACAAACTGCTGCTGTGCCTAAATGATAGGCCTTGAACCTCACCGGCAGGGACAAAGGAAGGGGGAGGAGGAGCCTCGGAGAGCCGTGCTGTTGTTATCGTACATTTTTCGGCCGGCAAACGGCAGTGGCGGCGCGAGCCCACTGAGACAGCCCATGCACTGAAATGGGAGCATGAAACGGGCCATCCAGACGGATCCACGGTTATGGCCTGGAGCACAGCCCAGGCGGGGGGGGGGGGGGGGGAGGGCCAGGCCAGGCCAGGCCTAACCTTTTTTCCTATCGTCATAGAAAAATCTCTCCGAATGTTAGAAGTCGGTACAATTCTCTCGCGTCTCTCTCTCTCTCCTCTCTCTTCTCTCCTCTCTCTCTCCTTCCCTCTCTTTCTCGTTCTTCTCTCCTCTCCTTCTCTCTCTCTCCTCTCCTCTCTCTCTCTCTCTCTCTCTCTCTCTCTCTCTCTCTCCTCTCTCTCTCTCTCTCTCTCTCTCTCTCTCTCTCTCTCTCTCTCTCTCTCTCTCTCTCTCTCTCTCTCTCTCTCTCTCTCTCTCTCTCTCTCTCTCTCTCTCTTCTCCTCTCTCTCTCTCTCTCTCTCTCTCTCTCTCTCTCTCTCTCTCTCTCTCTCTCTCTCTCTCTCTCTCTCTCTCTCTCTCTCTCTCTCTCTCTCTCTCTCTCTCTCTCTCTCTCTCTCTCTCTCTCTCTCTCTCTCTCTCTCTCTCTCTCTCTCTCTCTCTCTCTCTCTCTCTCTCTCTCTCTCTCTCTCTCTCTCTCTCTCTCTCTCTCTCTCTCTCTCTCTCTCTCTCTCTCTCTCTCTCTCTCTCTCTCTCTCTCTCTCTCTCTCTCTCTCTCTCTCTCTCTCTCTCTCTCTCTCTCTCTCTCTCCTCTCTCTCTCTCTCTCTCTCTCTCTCTCTCTCTCTCTCTCTCTCTCTCTCTCTCTCTCTCTCTCTCTCTCTCTCTCTCTCTCTCTCTCTCTCTCTCTCTCTCTCTCTCTCTCTCTCTCTCTCTCTCTCTCTCTCTCTCTCTCTCTCTCTCTCTCTCTCTCTCTCTCTCTCTCTCTCTCTCTCTCTCTCTCTCTCTCTCTCTCTCTCTCTCTCTCTCTCTCTCTCTCTCTCTCTCTCTCTCTCTCTCTATCTATCTATCTAGCTATATCACACACTATACTATATATATATATAATATATATATATATCATGTATATATAATATATATATATATATATATATATATATATATATAATATGTGTGTGTGTGTGTGTGTGTGTGTGTGTGTGTATATATACATATCATGCTCTGAAAACGTCCGAATTGATATTTGAATGCATTAAACCCTCAAACACTTGGCGGTGCCTAAAATACGTGCAAACTGGTTGCATGCGCCTAAAGACATTTTTCCAGTTACTTGCCGTCGAAACGGCTGTAACTTGCAAGTAACTTAAGTAAGTAGCTTAAGTGTAGCTTATCCTGTATACGCTCGAAATCAAAACTTTCTTACGAAAGAGTAGCCGGTTCAGACTCCAATTTTGGATACCACCGACTAAAAACCGTCGTCAACATTTCGGAATATTTGTGAAAAGGAATATCCGGCTCATTGTCATGCATTGCGCCTCGACCTATTAATGTAGGTTTGCATCGACCTAATGCAAAATTGTCGGTTTACTGCGATGGTGTCAATGAAGGCATGCTTGCACCACTTTTCAACGAGGCTAACATATCCCTCCGTCTGCAGCACAACTGCTTGTTATGGCAGCACTTGGGGAGCTGAGGTGGTCTCGACTTCTCGCCACCCACTGTCTGACAATGGCGCAGTTGTCTCGCGTACCAAGTTTCGGGCTGTGGAAGCCTGGGCTCGTCACCTGCTAGGCGACGCTGGACCGAAAGAGACGCAAGTGGCGGCGAGCAATGCTCTCCATGAAGAGGCGTCTGAGGGTCGCTGAGGGGAAGGCGTCGACGCTGGACAGTTTGGTGAAGCTTGGAGTGCTGACAAGCAAGCAACTCCGCAGCGTGACCTCTCGTCGAGTGCAGTGGACAAATCAGGACTTGTCTCGTGCATTAGGCCTGCGATGCAGGAGCCGCAAAGCCTACGAATACGTCAAGCCCGTCCTGCACCTGCCGCTCCCATCCTCGCTCACCCTGTCCCGGACGACGCGTCACTTTCGCGATACGCCAGGGGTGATAGAGGCAGCCGTTACGGTTCTGAAGGCGGCCGCCCAAGGCATGAGTGACATCGAGCGTCTCTGCGTCATTTCGTTAGACGAGATGGCGCTGGACGGACGAGCCTGCTAAGACTCCCCTGCCGACCAGCTGCTGTCAGCTTCGAAACTGCAGCTGCTCATGGTTCGGTCCCTCTGTGGGTCATGGAAGCAACCTGTTGTATTACGGTTTCGATGAGCCGATGACCCAAGAAACACTGACGGATGTCATCAACGTGCTGGAGACGCTCGGCCTCCACGTGGTCGCCGCTGTATCCGACATGGAGACTCCGAACCAACTCATGCGGCGTAAAGCAGGCGTGACGACCAACAAGATGTGGATTACTAACCCCGCTGACCCAGGACGGTGAGAATTTTTCCCAGAACCATACGTATTGTTTTGTTTTTTACGTTGTGTATCTATCAGTCTGGTTACTTATATATTGACCGCAAGGCTGACGCCTAAAATTACAGTAAAAGGCATCCCCTAAATTATCAGTAT